AAACATAACACGCATGATGAACGTGCCCGATGCAAATTGCAGGCAATTTCTAAGAAGTTGCGTGAAAGATGCTCTTATTATCCGATACTTATACTATAGACGATCGCTCTTCGTGATACGATATATCCTTTTTAAGGATGTTTTGGTTGTACAATAGAGTAGCAAAAAGTTGTCCAAATTAAAAAAAAAAACATATTTCTTATGTTTATACTATTTGGGAAATCAAATAAATAAATCTGAATTATAAAAAGAATTATGTGTATCATAAAATAATATCGTTTTAAACATCTTCATAAAAGATAATAGTTGCAATTAATATTTTTCGTATTTTATGACAAAAACTTTTAAATAATTTCCAAACCGTTAAGAGAATTGTGCTCAGGTTTTGCATAGATACTCAAAAGAAATAGTAGAACAGTCTACGAAATTTTCATACTTTTGTCAATGTTCTGACATATGACACATATATCCTTAATAAAAACAAAGATTGCTATCGTAAAAATCGAAACGTAAAAAAATAATAAAAAGTAAGAAATGTTTTTATAAAAAAAAAATGTATGAAAAGTATAGATATATAATAAAGAAAAATGGTTTAAAATCTCTCTCTCTCTCTCTCTCTCTCTCTCTCTCTCTCTCTCTCTCTCTCTCAGACAAATAAAAGTAAAATAAAGTAATAAAATTTTGCAATAATGTAAAAGATAATAACGTGAAATAACAAAAAACTTGTATCGGATGTTAAACGCATCAGGAAGAACGGTTTGTGCGCCAAGTCCTGTGTGCTGTCACTAATACCCTTTATCGCATTTCCGGGCTATATTATGTCTAGGGCAGTTTCGTATACGGTAAATAAATACTCCATATCGTGGATCGGGCACTTCAGTTAGTCGTCTTAAGAAACGACGATACTTGGCACCTTGAATTCAGTGTCGAGATCGAGCCGCGAAATGATAGATCGAAATAATTGCTCCCCTGCTAAAACGGATGTGAATAACAAAGACCGAGTAATGTTTTTCGCGAAGTGACCGATACTTTTGTAATCATCTAGGATGCATAAGACACGATAATTAAATTCCAAATCCATGAAAATAATATATTTTAAAATCTGGACATTTGTGACGTATAACTTTTGAAATATAACTATGACACTAAAATATTTCTGTGAGTTGTGCTGAATACATTAATAGAGTTATAAAATCCTAAAAAGTTATAAATAATAAATATTATATACAACATACAATATACATGAAATAAAAAATAATAAAATAAATAAATTAGAAAGTAAAAAAATTTATGACTTAGATTTTTGTATTGAATTAGAAATATAATGGCTGTCAAATACATCATAAAAGACATTGCGTTATTACATTTCCTCAAATGTTATAATTACACTAATTGACTTGACAATTTGTAAAACAAGTGTGTATCTCCTTTTGCGAAAAGATATTCGCAACTAAAATAACTATCAAACTTATATTTCGGATTAAATATAATATCCGACAGTGTTCAACGACGCCCTATAGTGATATGACATTTTTATTGCAAAATGTGCGCGCTGTGCTTTCGGTAAACAGAGTATAAGAACTTTGCAAAGTATCGTTAGAAGTATTATGCTCTGTTTATTAACAGTACGGTACGATGAAATCATCTGTTGTTGTTGATCAAACAAGAAGATTTTTTTACATTTGATTTTTGCGGCTCCCATATTCCAGCATAACTCAGCCGTGTCATTATTGGGCATTATGCTAGGAATATGTGACGTCGTAAATGTGTACTGAGCTACGAGGAGAGAATTTAAAAGCAGAATTTCATAGTGGATACTTTATAATCCATCCTCAGCATTTGTAAGATTGTCGTCAGGGGAGGAGCACTTGCATTTTACTTGCAAACTTAGCAAGTTATTATCGTCATAATTACGAAGAGCGTGCCATCGTTCGTAGTGTCATTTAATAATCCGTCCTCTCGTACCGAGGGATCGTCAATTTGCACGCAGCATTGAAGAAACATTCTTTCACCGAGGTTATCGATTCCCGCGACCTCGTTACGTTTATTATTACGCGCTGTCAATATGCATAAATTGTAAACTGCAACGGTAATTTGCGCGAAGAATTTGCCGAGAACAAAGCCGGGTGACGCGCGAGTGCCTCGCAATTAACTTCATTCTCGCGACATTTTTTTATTTTATATTACAAAAGAATCGTGTTTCTCATGTGAATATTTAAGGAGATGCGATAAAAAAGCAAGAGTTAAAAGTGGTTTCAACTTTAGTAAGTAAAAAATTTTCAACATTTATTAAATTACGTATTTAAATAAGTGTAATTATAAATATTTAAATATATTGTATATTTAAATAAGTAAAAAATCAAAAAACGTATTTAATTAAATATGTGTAATAAAAAAGTATTAATTATTAAATTATAATGTAATATATTACACATAAAAAAACTATGCCATTAATTTTGTAGATTATAAATATCTTCTAAAAATTTACATATATATTCTCTATGGATGTTACGTTATATTTAAAAAACGATTTTTTATTTTTTTTATATTTAATGCAAAGTTTATTATTATTTTCCACGATAATATGATTTGTTAAAGATCTTTGAATTTGCGAAATCTCTATCTAGCGTTTAGTACATTTATAAGTAAAGATGGCTCTGACTTATCGATAATCTCTGTTATCGGAAATAAACATTGATATTTATTGTGTAGCAATATAAGATATATTTATTTCTGATAACAGAGATTTCCGACGCATTGCAATCTTAAATTACATCCGTAATTCAGTCTTTGTAGAAAAACGATACTTGTAAACATCAGTGAAGAAAAAGATGCGCGTGGCAATCGTGGGTGCTGGTGTAATAGGAGTAACGAGCGCATTCGCGGTGAAAGATGCTTTTCCGAGTTACAACGTAAAGATCATTGCCGACGCATTCTCGCCTGACACCACTGGTGACGGAAGTGCCGGCCTATGGGGTCCTTACCTTCTCGGCGATACACCTGTCGACAATATAACGTGATTATTCTCTTAAAATGAATCCGTGAAAATATCACTGATTAAAACAGTGACAATATTACAGCAAAGATCAGAGAATATTTCACCGATTTTTAATGAAAATATACTTTGCTTCTCTCCGTCTTATATTCCACTGATTATGACAGTAAGATTTCAATGAAAAATCAATCACTAACTATTAACTAAATCTTTTCAGTGAAATTTCACTGTTTACAATGCTATAATTATAACTGAAACCACTGCTTATCAGTGATAATCACTGATTCCATTTAAAAAAATATATATTCTTTTGTATCTGCGGAAAATACCGTAAGTGAAATTGCACAATTTTAGTAGACAAAGATAGATGTAAATGGAGAAGTTTAAAAATCAAACTGTATTTTTAATAATTAATAAATATTTTACAATAATAATCACATACGGTATTATTAGTCGATGGGCTGGCTGCACGCATCAATGGTTCGAACAATTGTGGAAAGCTGGATTATCATCAAAAACGGGTGTTTCTTTGATACCTGTAACTCGTATTACTAGCGATTGCGAGGCCAACATTAATATAAATTGGGCAAAACTTGTTTACGGGTTCCAGAAAATTACTGACGAAAAATTACAACGCTTGAATGAAGAACATAAGTCTAATTATAAGTATGTTTTTATCGTTATTATACAATATTTTAAAATCAAATTATCATATAGTTTAAAATTGAATTATTATTATTAGAATCTTTATATTTGTGCCAAAACAAATTACTTAATTTTTGTTTTAATTATTATTACTATTCTTGTTACTATTCTTTTATTTGAGAGCTTTCCGAGATTTTAAGCTAATAATTTCAGACAAGGTTGGCATTTTATAACTTACACTGTTGAGCCGGTTCTGCTACTGCCGTGGCTCATGGAAAGGTTCATCGCTTTGGGTGGAAAAATAGAAAAAAGAAATATTAAAACGTTGCACGAATTAGCCGAGGAAGGATACGATTTAATAATAAATTGCAGCGGGCTTGGTGCACGAGAGCTTGTCGCGGATAAAACGATGACATCTATCAGAGGTCAGGTGTATAGGGTAATCGTCTTCCAATTTATATCGTGGCATAAATCTTTTTTACAATCAGATTTACAATTATAGTATATTAAAGTTATGATAGTAATCGTGATTCGTTTATATATTTTATTTAGAGTTAATCTTTTTTAAGCACTAATCTCTTTTTTTCTATTAGAAATATTATTTCTTTCTATCGTAAAATGTAATATATTGTTTTGAAAATATTTTGTTGTTTTGTTACCTTGTCGAATGTGTTGCAAGTGAGAAAACTAATGTAGAAAGATTTGTTTAAGGTAAAAGCACCTTGGACAATGCACTGTTTTCTAGTGGACGACGATTCTTGCAATTACATTATTCCTAAGTAAGTAAATCAAGCATTAATAATCCGTAGTTATTGGCAATGACATTTATTTCTCCCTAATATCTCTGCTTATAGTATCAACAGTGTTGTACTGGGCGGTACGCATCAAGAAGGTGATATCGATTGTTCTGCAAGGGAAGAAGATTCTAAAAACATTTACGACGGATGTTGCCGCATGATGCCATCTCTAAAAGTACTAAGTTATCCTACGTAAATTCAACTATGGAAAACTCGTAATTCTCGAATGATTCTCTCACTTTGATGATTTTTGTCACAGGCCTGTCAAATAATTCGCGCATGGGTAGGCCTTCGACCAGGACGACCGCGAGTTCGTTTGGAATGTGAAACCCTCAACTCGCCTACGGGAAAAGAAATTAAGGTATATCGCCATAAAATATTATTGCTATGTTAGCTATGTCGTATCACGAGTAATATCGAATTTATTATAAATTTAATATGAATTTTAATACGAATCATTATGATAAGCATTGCAGTCTACGAGTCGCTTCTTATAATGCTCATTTCGTGTTTTATACTTCAGGTGATACACAATTACGGCCACGGCGGAAGTGGCGTGACGCTGTGCTGGGGGTGTGCCACTGACGTCGTGGAAATGATAAGAAATTTAAAAGTACAAGAATTAAACTCCAAACTGTAACTCTCCAGGGACAGAACAAACTTTTTATTCATACATTTTTACTCGCACACGATCGCGACACTCAACCTTGCTCAATCTTTTCTTCTCATACGATTCCAAGGATTGTATTATTCAAAATATTACATTTTTATTATCTTTATCTTATTTTTCTAGATGCAAGATTTTAATGAAACAATTTTGATCAAATTTAGATAAACTTTTATAATCTCTTCTTCTATACATATACATTGAATTCGATGAATAAATATTACTGTCTTCTATCTTTCTTTATCCGCATTATCCAAATCTATTTAACACTAGATCAATATTTTTGTAACTTTTATTTTAGACCTATCTGTTTTGTATAACAACGGCAAAAAGTCAAAAAATGTAATTAAACGTCAAGAAGCACAAGCGTAAACGCGCGCGCATGAGTTCGATCTGCGCAAGGCGCACGAGCCTATTTAAAGTTTCATGTCGTGATTACTTCGTAACTGTACAATTCTAAATATGGTCGTCAAACTGTGCAATTAAAGCACCAAACTAACTACCGAGATGCCTTACATGTCGACCGTGCCGCAGTAGTCGCGTAAAGCTAGAACGTCCACGACGCGTATTTCTCTAGTCGCAGTGCGATCTATATCGGTTGTGAACTTTTATTCGTTAACGAATTATCATCGTTAAAATTAAAATCTCCAATATTTGAAAATTGTTAATATTGACAGGTACGTACACTATTTAAATATCTACTAGGATAATATTATCGATATTGAATTACGAAAATAATAACCAATATAAAAAAAATAAAACATATATGTCATAGCAAATAGTGGCAGATTTATAAAAGAAGCTTTTCCCACAGACCTCTATATATAATATATAATAGAAGTCTGTGTATATTATTTTATATGTTATTCTATATATTAGAAGTATGTGGCTTTGCCAAAAAATTTATCAATGATTTAAGCACCAATCGATATAACATATAAGCAACGTATCGATTAGCGATTTATTGCGTCTCTGCGTGATAAATGTAAATGTGAAAGGGATTAAGTACGAATTGAGCTCGACGCGTAGATAATTGATTGTGACATCGCGCGCGCGTTGACAGTGCGATTGAAATAATCGAATAATGGAAAAGAGCAGCGGCCATGATCATCGAATTTAGCGATAAGTACTCATTGATGATATCACGCGATTCCAAAGACGATAATTCCAGAAACGCTGGTGTGACAGACGGTGTCGAATCCAATAGCGGCTTCGAAGGGCGATCCTGCAAATCTGTATTTAAAGATCGAAAATACCTCGTTCCCGACAATTCCCCGAACGTTCTATCGCTTGCAAACGACAGAATAGGTGTTACCAAGCATGATTCCGAGCTATATCATTGGAAAATTACCACAGACAAAGACAATAACACAGGTATCCATTCAATTCTAAACTTAACAAAATCATATAAGAAGAGAAATTTGAAATTACGCTTTAATAAAAAATATCTAGATACGTAATAATATCAAATTCATAAATATAATAAGAAATTCAGAAACTTCTTCGCTGATTTAGTGATTTAGTTATTGTAAACATCATTTTTTAAATTTAATATTATAACTTTAAAAAATATGAAAAATATACTTTGAATATGATTTACTGAATATACTTTAAATCTTGCAAGTTTGCCACATTATTATTTCATAAGACTTATAAATAAAATTTGTTCAATATAGACGCATTGCATGAGAAAAACGATTCAGAGCAGCTTACAGAAAACGTGGAAGAAACGTCAAAAACCAAGAAGAGAAAGCGGAGGTATGTCGAAAAGAATTACACTTCTCGCGCGAGAATCAAAAATGTCCTTTCGATTTAACCAAATAGATTTTTAACAATCTGCACGACGAACTGCAAATACACCGTGGTTAGACGGGTGGCTGCGCGATTCGGGATGAGAGAAGTTACGGAGGACAGCAGCTGGGATCTTTATTGGACCGATTTGAGCATCAGCGTGGAGCGTGCCAAGGACATGAAGAGATTTCAGAGAGTAAATCATTTTCCCGGAATGACAGAGATATGTAGGAAGGATCTTCTCGCTCGTAATCTCAATCGTATGCAGAAGCTGTTCCCGAAGGACTATAACTTTTTCCCGAAAACTTGGTGCTTTCCCGCGGAGTAAGATGATGCATTTGTTAATATTATTCCACATTGATAATATTGCTTTAGTTGATAAAAATGTTATCTCATTATGTATATCTTATTAAAAAAAAAAAAAAAAAAATTCTTTATAAAATATTTATATATCAATCATATTAACAAAAACAAGATATTCTTTAAATAACTGATAATTGTACGGCTGTTTTATATATCTCACTTTCACTATCTAATTGAAACACAATAGCTTAAATGAAAGCATATTTCTTCAGTAGCGATAGTTAGGATTAACGAGGTAAAATATCATATTGCAATTCTACGAATCGGTCTCACGTATCAGAACAAAGAATGCGGCTCTCTATCGATCGAAAGTCCTTTCTTATCTATTTTACAAGCATGAATAATTATGTTTTGCTTCTCCGAATGAAAGAGACTGCTCTCGGGTTCCCGATCGTAAATTCCGAAGGAGTTTGCCATTACGGCGATAAAGAATAATCAATATTTTCCAAATGTCGATGTGTGAGCATGTAAGCAAATCGGAAACTTTAGATTTCGGATTCCAGTCATGGCGACGCAATGGCTTATGCTAAGACGCGGAAATCAAAAACCTTTATCGTTAAACCGGATATGGGCTGCCAAGGACGCGGTATTTACCTAACGAAACACTTGAAGGACATCAAACCAAGCGAACGTTTGATCTGTCAAGTGTACATCGCAAGGGTACGAACAATCAATTTTTTTTCATACAGTAAAAAAGTCGACAAAAACTTGTTGACAGAATTTAACTAGCTCTTTTTCAAATTAAGAAAAATTTTTCTACGTTTTTTTTACTGTCTGAAATTCGTTCAGATTTCTTTCCGACGAATATGTGCAGTCGTAGATGTAATTAAAAACTTCACAGTTTTGCAGTGCAAAGCAAGTATAATGCATACAGCCCTTTTTCTTACTACGTCCTTAGCCTTTCTTAATAGACGGATACAAATTTGATCTACGTATTTACGCATTAATTACGTCCTGCGATCCTCTCAGGATCTACGTGTACAACGAAGGACTCGCGAGGTAAGACGTGTCTTAAAAAAAATGTTGAGAAATTAATGTTACAAGAGGTGTATATTTTATTAGTAACTGTTTAAAATTATACTAGCAAATATATATTTGCTAGTGTGTATTAATTTAATATATATTTATTTCCCACGTTACATTCGACATACTATAAAAAGTGAGAAATATTACACTTTCAGATTTGCGACGAGCAAGTACAAGGAACCGACCGGTCAAAATATTTCTAACATGTTCATGCATTTGACAAATTATTCCGTTAACAAGCACAGCCGGATGTATGTTATTGATGATGAGATTGGCAGTAAAAGGTTCGTATATTCCAATCTGTAGAATCAATAATATGTATGATAAAATGCGAGTTGACAGAATAACAAATTGCATTTTACAGAAAGATATCGACATTTAATAAATGGCTAAAAGCGAAAGATATCGACGTGGATGTTTTATGGGGTAAGATCGATGGAATTATAATAAAAACCTTAGTCGCCGCGTATCCCGTATTAAAACACAATTATCATGCGTGCTTTCCGATGCACGATAAAACTTATGCGTGCTTCGAGTTGCTGGGATTCGACATTTTACTCGACTGGAGACTTAAACCTTACCTTCTCGAGGTAATCCTTTAAGAATATTATGTAAGGGAAACATTATTAAGCATATCTTCTACATTTAGTACATCTATCAGGTAAATCACTCGCCAAGCTTTCATACAGATGCACAAATAGATAAAGACGTAAAGGAAGGGTTGTTGATGGATACCTTTGATATATTAAACCTGCAACAATGCGACAAGAAAAAAATAATAGAAGAAGACAAAAAGCGAATCAGGGAGCGACTTCTTCAAGGCATAAATGGAAAAGATCTCAGGTAGAAATTCAGTATTAGAGAGAGTATAATACAATTTATACTTATAAACTGCATCCAGTGTAATAAAAATCTGATGTTATAATAAATCAAAATGTTGCATACGATGTGCAGTCAAACTAATGATACGACAGCTTCGACGAAATCTGTGAGGAACGAGAACAATTATATGCAGAGACAGTTTCAGTGGGAAGACGACCATATGGGCAATTTTCGAAGAATTTATCCGTGTCTTAGCGAGGATAAGTACCAGCCTTTCTTCACGCAGAATACGCTTTCCGTTTTCCAAGATACGGTGGCATCGAGAGCGCGAGAGGAAGCGTCGAGAATAGAGAGGGAAGAAAACGAAGTAAAAATTTCCTCTCATTTTATAATTTGATCTTCTAAAATCAACGGATGAAGTTTATAAGAGTTACATTAATATAAAAATTGACATCATATAATAATTCACACAAAAAGCAAATTATGATATATGTCATAAGAATAATGTACATCATAAAAATTTATATACATCCGAATAATTAAATCAATTTTCTAACATTATAAAACTTTTGCAATGTAAGAGACACGCTGGCATGAATAAAACAACTTGCCATATCTATTATTCATCGGTCTAGTTTTAATTTCATCACGTTTCAGCTGAAAGCGAAGGAGGAAGAACGCAAACGAATAGTCAGGAAATGGAGCGAGCAGAAATTAGGCTCTGAAAGTTCGAATGCATCAAAGAAATTCCAAGAGAAGAGCAAATCTGCAGGCGTGCTACCAAGGAAAAATGTGAGTATTTGAAACAATTAATTCATTCGGTTTAACTGCCATCTGCATAAAGGAATGCTTCTTCGTTATTTTATATCTTCGCGCGAAGAAACTGTTGGCAAAAATTAGAAAGAAAATAATTATCTCTTATTAAAATATGACGTCTCACAGTCAGTGGAAAATAAAAAAGGCCACTGTTGAATAGGACGGAAGGTCCTCCTTCATCTAAGGAAAGAAGCAAGAAATGAGCAAGCATATTATATCTTCTCGCTTTTTCGCAGATCAATAAACAGGACGCACAGGGATCTGCTACCAACACGTTGTATTCCTTCGAGCCTGAAATCATATCGGAATCCGAGGAGAGGGAGCGAATAACAGCCCTCGCGCAGAGGGATTTTCTCATCAAGAGTTATGGTATGCTAGAGCAGATATACATGGCGATGAAGAAGAATGGCACGTTACGACCTGCTGATGAAAGAAAGTACGGATTATACGGCAGACTTGGGCAACACGCGAACACGAATGATAGCACGTGTTCTTCCTCTGCGCACCAACGTCGCCATTGTCACCAAAATAACTGTACACATGCCACGCAACTAACCACGGACCAATGCATACAATGCTCTCTGAAAGGGAATAATGTAATTATATTTTTATGAACCAAAATTTACTCTTTAAAAAAACGAATCAAGATTCAGATTTAGATGAATTTTAGTCTTTTACATCTTAATAATTAAAGTGAAACAGAAATGTAATGTTTAAGAAATATATAAAATATAGGCATCTTTTTTTTTAGCAAAAGATGGAGGGACGCGAATTCAACAATTCAAACAAAAGTAAACGTATCGATAATTATACTATTATATTTTGTATCTAACTTTTTATATGTATCTAAAAATGTTACATTTTAATTTAGCCTTGTGGATAACTTGTAATGAAGCGCTTGTTTATGTTCGTCCAAAAATACCGCAAAAATTGTGGATGGAGGATATGAATTCTACTAATAGGAGTCGTGTAACAAAAGCTCAAATTGCTCGAACATTGTCAAATACCGTGCGGTTACATACACTGAAGAAAAGAGAAGCCTCCTATTCATCGAAATTATAGTAAGCCATACATTTATGTTTGTATCTATTACGATTCTATATACTTTTTCTTGTGAGAGATATTAACTTTTTCTAAAAATATATAATTATAATATTATATAAAATACAATTATAACAAAGTTATTCTAGAATCGACATTGAAACCTAACAGATAAAAAAGATAAAATAGATTTTTGTGTGGAAAAAAATAAGAAAGAAAATAAAAAAAGCAGACATTATAACAATATAAGAAAAAAATTACCTTTATGAAAAATATAAAAGCAATTAATATAAAACTATGGTTGAAAAAATATAGGCAATTATTTTAAAGCGACACGATATGATCTTCTTATCATTAAATTGGTTAACACTGATCACGTAAATGAAAATTAGTAACAATAAGATTCGTAAAAAATATATTGAGAAAAATAATTTTAAATTAAATATATATATTTTAGTGGAAAAAAGAAATAAATTGTGTGGTTTGTATAATATCCGAAAGTCCAACACAAATCTTAAGACACATATTTCGGTGTGTAAGCGAATGCTATTTCAAGGTAGAGAACAGTAATATAAAAATCAACAATGTATCGATTTGTTATTTAAAGTGCCATATAAATATGTACAATAGATATGAGTGAACATGTACACGTCGCTTAAGTGTGGGAGTTACGTGCGCTACGTATGTAAAATGATCACATACGTACGCCACTCTATAATATGTATAACAATTTTTATTGCTGATATATATATTCTGTATTCACATGAGAGAGATAAAAAATAATCTATGAACAATTTTTGTCGCGTGCTGGGTTTTGCCTCGTTCGTGATATTGCGTCCATATCGTTTCATCGCTGCGTTTCACCACTATGCTTTCTGTAGCTTCTTTTCTCGTTTAGTCTTATCATTCTATATTGCAATCAATACGCATTGTGCCCGTAATAGACGTGTTTCGCACGTGTTACGACGTAATTGAGAATCCAAAGTCCTACTCTTCCGGTGGAGCATAATAATATAATCATTATATAAAATAATACTGTGATGCAAAGCGGTGCGCCGAATTGGCAACGATAAGAAAGAGCACATTGCCCTGTTCCTTAAATTTCTAAATCGCGCGCGATAGGACTTTTTCTCAAGTTACAATTTTTTTATCCCCGTTTATAAAACACACCGCGTAAAATAATGGCAGTATAACTTTGCAGAATCCACGCACGTAGCGATGCAACGTCGGTCGTTCCTTCGACTGTAAATTACACCTTCAATATTGAGTCATTGTAAGAACAAGATTTAAAGTGCGAAATACATCCAACACATTACAATCGGTGAATCTTTTTTTTTCTTTTTTTTTTAACGTGATATATATTATTTACATAAAAACCACTGTGGTTGCGGCGAATATTTGCGCGTCTCATAGATTTGATTCCCACCATATTAAGTCTTAGATATAGAAAGGCTTATGTACATAAAGTCAATAGATATACATTTATGATACCTTATATATTGCGCTTATAAAAAGAGAACTCAAGTACCGTAAATATATATATATTCATGCGAAATATTTCCATCTATGTTGAAAAGTCACCATGTTTCGGTATATACATATATATTTCCACTGAAAATAAAGGTAACTATATTTAAAAAAAGTGCAATAAGACAAATAATTGGACATATACAAAATGCATTTGTCTCGAACAGATTTTACAAGGGGGAGTTAAGCTATTGTCAAACATTTAATTATTATTACCAAACAAAGGATTATAAATTATTAAAAAGTATATATTGAAACACATGCTCTGTGTGTCATGAATAAACATGTAGCAAATGTTTAAAATTATATCATTTATAATTTAATTCTGTGAAAGATTAGACATTATCACTTAAATTACAGCTCATTGATTTGTACTACAAAACGATTTCCTCCGCTGCCTTAGTCATTGACAATGGCTGTTATTTGTATAAGAGTTTGTAATTCGTTTAATCCCCTGCATTTTTTAACTTTCGTAATAAAAGCAATGTTAACAGGTTTTAGTGTGACGTTCTTCCCCATACGAGAAAATATAGAAAGAAGATATGTGAAGATGGTATTCTATTCGTTGTAATACTAATATGAGCATTATGTAATTATAGGATCCTGTATGTCACTCATATGTGATACGCATATGTATTGTGTATGTTAAAAATGATCATAGTAAAATAAGCTTAAAGCATGAATTATACGGAGACTGCGCGCGCGAATAATTATTTAATATTAATTAAATAATTAATTAAATAATATAATTACAATTATTTAATTGTATTACTTAATTTTATATTAAGAGCTTTTTAATCTGAAAATTAAATTTAATAATTTTAGACCAAAAATAAATTTTTAATTAACATGATCAAGATAAAGTACAGATACTAGTTACTTCGATACAATTTCTGTTGTTCGTCAAATTGAATCTCCGTTTAACACAGGCATTAAATTCTATCTATCTATCTATCTATCTAG